TCAGGCTCCCTACTCAGCGGGGAGTCTGCTTTTCCCCCTCTCTCTGTCCCTCCCCCTTCTTGTGCACTCTCTCTCTCAAATAAATAAATAAAATCTTTAAAAAAAGAAAGAAAAATTTCCAAAATAAACACTTAACAACCCACAGTAAGCAGCATAAACAACACCTGGGGAGGGAAGAGAATCTGATCTCCAGAGTTATCACATTATATTATCAAATATTGAAAATGCCCAGTTCCCAACAACAAATTAAGAAGCTTGCAAAGACCCAAGAAAGTATATCTCATTCACAGGAATAAAAAGAAATTAACAGAAACTGTCCCTGAAGAAGCCCAGACATTGGACTTACTAGACAAAGATTTTAAATCAACTGTCTTAAATACCCTCAAAGAGCTAAAGGAATCCATGAACAAAGAACTATCAAAAATCAGGAGAATGATGTTCTCAACAAATAAAGGATATCAACAAGGAGAAATTGTATAAAGGAGCTGAACAGAAATTCTGGAGCAGAGAAGTACAATAACTAAAATGAAAAATTTGCTAGGGGGATTCAACCTCAGATTTAAGCTGGCAGAGAAAAGGACCAGTAAACTTGAAGATAGATCAATTAAAATTATACAGTCTGAGGAGCAGAAGAAGAATGAACAGGGACTGAGGGACTCGTGGGACGCCATAAAACATACTAACAGACACATAACAGGAATCCTAGAGGAAGACAGAGAGACAAAATAGTTGAAAAAACAATGGTGGGAAACTTCCTAAAATAGATAAAATACTCGAATCTGTACATTCAAAGAAGCTGAACAAACTCCAAAGAGGATAAACTCAAAGAGATCCACACTGAGACGCACTATAATCAAACTGTTATGTGGTTCAATACATCAAAATCAAGCTATATAATGCACCATATTAGTAGACCACATGATCATCTCAGTTGACGCAGAAAAAGCATTTGATATAATCCAGTACCCTCTAATGATAAAAACATCGTAATTATGAGGGACTGAAAGCTTCCCCCCAATCAAGAACAAGGCAAGGATGTTTGCTGTTACCACTTCTATTCAACATTGTACTGGAAGTTCTAGCCAGAGCAATTAGGCAAGACAAGGGGGGGAAAGTCATCTAAATTGGAAAGGAAGGGGCACCTGGCTGGCTCAGTCAATAGAGCATGCAACTCTTGATCTCAGGGTTGTGAGTTCAAGCCCCACATTGGGGGCAGAGATTACTTAAAAATAAAATCTCTTAGGGCACCTGGGTGGCTCAGTCATTAAGGGTCTGCCTTTGGCTCAGGTCATGATCCCAGGGTCCTGGGATCGAGCCCCACATCAGGCTCCCTGCTCTGCGGGAAGCCTGCTTCTCCCTCTCCCACTCCCCCTGCTTGTAATCCCTCTCTTGCTCTCTCTCTCTGTCAAATAAATAAAAAAAATCTTAAAAAAATAAAAATAAAATAAAATCTCTTAAAAAATAAATACATTGGAAAGGAAGAAAAACTATCTCTATTCACAGATGGCATGAGCTAATAAGTGAATTCAGCAAAGTTACAGGATACAATATCAACACATAAAAATTAGTTGTTTCTATAAAACATCAATGAACAACCCAAAAAGGAAACTCAGAAGATTTCATTTGCAACAAAAAGAATCAATTCTACTTATAGAATCAAAAAGAATAAAATACTTAGGAATAAATTTAGCCTGGGAGATACAAGACTTCTACACTGAAAACTGGAAAACTACTACTGAAAGGAATTAAAGAAAATCTAAATAAATAACATCATTATTAATTATTATTATTAATAAACACATTCTGCGTTCATGGATTGGAAGACTTAATACCGTTAAGATGGCAACACTACTTAGTGATCTACAGGTCCAATGCAATACCTATCAAAACCCCAACAGTCTTTTTTTATTCTTTTTGCAGAAATGGAAAAGTTGCTTCTAAAACGTATATGAAATTCCAAGGGACCCAGAATAGCCAAAACAGTCCTAAAATAGGACAGTGTTGGAAGACACATATCTCCTGATTTCAAGAAAACTTACTACAGAGGTACAGTGCTGGCATAAAGATGGACATAGAATTGAAAGGAATTGAGAATCCAGAACTAAGCCCACATATCTTTGGCCAATTGGTTTTTCACAAATGTACCAGAACCATTCAGTAGGGGAAAGAAGAGTCTTTTCAACAGTGGTGCTGGGACAACTGGTAATCCACATGCAAAAGAACAAAGTTGGACCCTTACTTTGTACAGTATACCCAGCAGTGCCTGCTACTTGCCAAATGCCCAACCTTGGTTCTTCCTGCTGTTTCTGTTCACCCGCACCTCCCCCTCCTGTATTGGCTTTTGCACCCACTAAGTGTCTGGTACTGTCCACTGTCCAGAAACCACCTAAAGGTGCATGCAGAGCTCTTGATCTCACGAAGCTCACATAAACTAGGACAGAGAACGGACACACAGGGAAAGGATAAACCCTATAAAGTCACAGAGAGGTGAGGACCCTCGAGAACATGCGTGAGGTCCTGCGTGGTAGCCTCTCAGAGGGATGGATGTCCGAGCCAGGCCTAGATGATGAGCTGGCTACCCCTGGATCCAGTGAGGGTCAAGGCTTCAGGGCTGTTATAGGGAGGTGAGGCCCTAAAGGCAGATGATCAAGGCACACAGCCAGGACAGGGATCTGGGGTCAGCCCCACTGCCGGGCTGACATGGGAGGAGCTGATCACTCCCTCTGCTGCTGTGTGGACAGAGGATAGGATGATGGGTGTGGGGAGAGCACGGAGCTGGGCCCGACATTAAACTTTTGATTGCTGAGGCATCCACTTCAGAGACCTCCATCTGGAATAAACATATTTGCAGCTGTATGACAAAGCTACTAGCAAAAAACCAGATAAGGAATTGGGCTGCCCCCACTCATGGAGGTCCCTCATTCAGAAGGCCTTGGGTGGTCTCGATAACTGACAGTTTGGGTGACTCACTTCCCCCTACTCACATCCTAATTCCCACTCTTCTGCTTTAAATTAGCCAGTAAAGACTATACCTCTGAGACCCTAGACAGCCTCCCCCCAGTAAAGGCAGGGCCCCAGGTGCAGGCTCTCTCCCCCAATGCTCTCCCTCTTGGGCCCGAGAGCATTAATATCAATAAATAGGCTGTAATGGGCATGACACTCCTCTGCATCCAGGTGTACCGCTGGGCCAGAGGGAGGGATACACCATGGACTAAGGTGGGGAGAGACTTGTTCTGTTATTTTTCCAGATACCAGCCATCAGGGACTTCACGTGGAAATATTGGGTCCCTCTTCACCCTGCACTTGAACCACGGTGACTGGAGAGGGCCACCCACAGGAAAGAGGAGAGCCAGGCTCCTGCTGGATTCCATCTGGGCTTCAGGCACCCCACCCACAGCCCTGGCCCAGCCAGCCCCTAGGCTCCCTTCCCTCAGTGCACATCTCATCCTGTCCCTTCCCATTCTACACCCGCTGCCGGGAGCTTCCTTTCCCAAGGAATAAAGCCCAGTCTTGAGGCAGCAGCATGCAGATGCCTCCTGCCTGTGTCCCTGACTTCCAGGCATTCACATGCAGGTAGAGATGCCTTATCAGGCCCAGCCACCTGCTACTCCAACTACCTCCCTGTCCATAGGACCACAACCTGGCCCCATGCAAAATATGTACACGACCCCCTTGCTGAAAAATGATAGGGAACCTCAAGATGGTGACAACAAAGCATTAACACCAGCCTGGGCCTCCTAAGCTTGAGGCCCTGGGGGCTGTATGGGTCCACCTAGGGCCAGACACAAAAGCTTTCTGGCCCCTTGGTTCCTGGAACAGTAGTTCCAAGGGCCACTTTATCTGCCTTGCACGTCTTCATGATTCCACAGGAACCTGGGAACAAGGCTCCATGACGCCAATCAGTGCCTTCCAACTTGGACTATGCTCTTGCCTCTGCAAAATGCAACATGCAAAACTTTCCCGAGCATGTTAGCCTGCTTCCTGCGGGCAGTGTGGAGACCTGGGAACCCTGTTTTCTGTAGATTTCAAGGCTTTTCTGAACCTAGGGCCCGAAGACACCCTGATCACAGCACCTGTGCCAGGCCCTGAGGGTTGACTGCCTCCAGATGTGATGGGGTCTGCACTTCTGTTGACATCACTAGGAAAGAGGGAGCCCCATTCCTCGGGACTGGGGCTTGGGAGGATGGCAATTCTACACAGGGTCACAGGGGCAAGAAAGCATGAGGACAAAGCCCCTGCAGGGGAAAGGGGAGCTGAGGGAGAGAGGCGGTGTTCAGATTCATCTGCAGACCTTGCAGCTACCTGAGACCCCTCTGTCTGCTGAGCTCTTTCCAACACTCGTTCTGTGACAACTGTGGACCTAGGCGTCAGCCTCCATAACCAGCTGTTGGGCCTCTGGGACGGGTCTGCGCCCCATGCACTGGACGCAGGGGAGGACTAGTAACCTCTGGGACTCCTGGACAGGACTGGGGTAGGGGTGGGGGCACATGGTTCACAGCACCTCGTGTGGGCTGAGAGACCCGGGGTCCTCCTGAGGGAGAGCGGACAGATGCAAAGCCACAGGCCAGATGGACACATGGTAAAATGGAGAAATCCTCAATTACCGACTGAGCGAGAGAAGTGAGGCAGACAGAGGCGTGCAGCACAATGACATTTATGTAAAACAAAGAAAAACACAGGTGTGTGATAGGACAATGTGCACTGGCAGGACAAGTGCAGGCAGGGGGTTTGCTCGGATGGCCTGGGGCGCTGCTGGTCGGGAACGGGACAGGAGCGGGTGGGGGGGTGGGAGCAGTGCTGGGCGGATGCGACACTCTGAGTCCGAAAGGAGAAAGAAGCGCGATCCTTGGGCACCGGGCCACGGAGACATTGGCCAGAACCCAAACCCGGCACCTGCTCCCCCCGGCAGCCACTCGCTCTTAGGGATGAGGCCCGTCCCCTCACCTTCCTGCTGCGACATCTGTGTGAGGTCCTCCACCAGGGTAGCGGCCTCCCTGCAGGTTCGGGGACCCTGCGACTGCACCCAGGTCCTCATCTTGCTGGGCAGCGCACCCAGGAACTGCTCCAGCACCAGCAGCTCCAGCATCTGCTCCTTGGAGTGCGCCTCGGGCCGCAGCCACTGGCGGCACAGCATCCAGAGCTGACCCAGTGCGCGGTGTGGCCCACCTGCCACGCGGTACTGGAACTGTCGGAAACGCAGGCGCCAGGCCTCAGTATCCCCAGGGCTGGCTGGCTGAGGAGCCCCGTCCTGCTCCCCCAGGGCCGGGGTCTGGGGATTCCTGGGGGAGGCGAGGGCTTTGGCCAACGGGAGCATCTCTCCGGCCTCAGGGGGCAAGCAGGCTGGATCCCAGGACAGTCCCAGCGGCTCCAGACAAACCCAGGTGGCAGCAGGTGGATGCAGTCAGCAGTCACAGGCCTGCAGAGAGGGGCAGGCGCAAAGTGGCCACATCAGATGGTGGCCACCACCTTGCTCAGGACTCCCCTCACTACCCCCCTCCTTGCCCTGATCTCTAGTTCCCAAGGAACTGACCTGAGCCCTCCCTATCTCATTCTGACCTAATCTCCTTCCATATGACCCTCATGGGTTACATCATGTTGAAAACAAGGCACTGGTCACCCCAGGACCTTTGTACCTGCGGTTCCCACCCACACTACTCTCATGTTCATCCCAGCCCACCTGTCGCCACAGCAGGATGTCACCATGCGCTGGCTCACGCCATCACCCTTTTCTCCTCTTCATTGTGCTGTCTTCACGAATCTTACCTCATTGTGAACATATCTCATTTCCTTAACTTAGCATACATCTGCCTCCTTCACTCATTTAGTCATTCAACACATGGTTTACTGAGCATCTAGGAGAACTGGATTCCTGCCCTGGGAGTAGCCAGCACTGCCCCCCAGAACTTCCCGTGGGGTTGGAAATGGTCTCCATCTGTGCCATCCCGCATGGTAGCCACCAGCTAGTATGTGGCTCCTGAGCACTTGAAATAAGGAACTGGACTTTAAATTCCCTTTAAATGGAAACAGCCAGATATGCCATGTAATAGCACAACAGAGGCCTCCTGCCCTGCCTCTGCTGTCTTGCCTTTTTTACTAAATTAAGGCTGAGGGAGGAGGCGGTGAGGCGGACAAGGGGGGAAAGAGACTTTAAAAACAGAGGGAAAGTGGGAGGGGCAGTGAAAAAATAACATTTTGTGCATTTTCCAAGCTTCCCATAGTGAACATATAACTGAAGAAAACAAAGTTGTAAAAATAAAAATGAGATTTTTTTTTTTTTTTTAAACACTTGTCCTGTGTGCTGATCCAATGGTGAAAGTACAAACTGGCACGACCTTTCTGGAAAGCACTATGGCAGCTTGTATATCAAGACCATTCTGGAAGTTCGCATGCTGTGGAATTTATCTGAAATTGGGACAAAGATTTAGGCACCAAGAATCACAACAAAAGTGCCCAACAGTCCAGCCTGGTGAGATCAACTACCCTCCCATCACATGGCAGAGAATTTACGACTGCAAAATGCACGGTAACGTAACATGCTCAAGGGAAGCAGACGTGACATACAGATGATATGAGGTACAGGGGAAAGTGGGATGTAAAATGATATATGAGGGTCCCAAAAAGGGCCGCTGGGAAAGGCCCAAGGGCGGCCAGCCAAACGCCATGTTCTTCATACTTCCTTAATCTCCCCCAAATGGTATATTGATGTTTGACCTTCATTATGAAGGAAAAAAAAAAAAGAACAAAAACATTCAGGAAGGATTTTTAATGACATGGGAAATGCTTATGACAAGTGAAAAGTGGAGGAGTATTCCACGTGACTTTTTCCTTCTTGATCCTCTGGAGCACTTTTCATGTGCACGTGTGTGGGTTTTACAATCAGGAAGGAGAGGTGTACAAACGCAGGGAGGGCGACTCACGAGGGCTGTGCCCTGCCAGCAATCTTCGAGCCTGCTTCTTGCCGCCGCCGGCAGCCTGACTTGGGCGTTTACAACCTCCGTCACCCCTGCTGAGACCACAGGCAAAAATACTCTTATGCTGTAGTAACACTTTCACATGTGTATTTTTGAAAAAGAAAAAGGGCCCGTCTCGCAGCTTCACAGGTTCAAGCAGTGCTTCTGCTCTGGGATCTCGGACCTTACCCTTCTCTCCGGTGAGCAGGGAAGTGCGCCCCAGGCAGATTCTCCAGGGTGAAGAACCGCAGCCCCTCAGCACCCTCCAGGGTCCTGGGATGGAGTCTACGTAGGCAGAAGCTGAGTTGATGGGGGATCTGGAGGGGGTAAAGTGGGGCTCCTCGCTGAAGGCACCTAAGGCCTATGGGCGGGTGTCTGGGGCCCGTGGGGGGGGTGGTGGTGTCCTCATGTGGGGGTCTGGAACCAATGGGAGACCCAGGCTGAGGAGAGGACCTGGAAGATGTAGGGGTCTTACACCGATGTGGGGCGGGGGCTTGAGGTCTACAGGGGAGTACCGTGGTCTTGGAGATCCACTCTGAGGGTAACCTGGATTGATGCTAGGGGGTCTCTGAGTGTCACTTGCAGGGCTCAAAGCCACATGGACAGGCCAGGCTTACCTGCGGTGGGCACCGAGATCTGCCGCTGACACAGCGTCAGGTTCTGGGCTGCTGGCTGGTGGGGGGAGGGCGGGCTTGGGCTGGGCCGAGTGGGGTCTGGAGTGCACAAGCGAGGGTGGAGGGGCTTTCCGCCCCGGCTGATGGGGAGGGGAGATGCCACCTGGGCCGGGGCTGGGCGCAACGGCGCGCCCCGGCCCCCTGCCCACCTCCACCTCGGCCCCCCCGCGTGGCCCGCGAGGCTCGCCCGTCTCCCTCATCCCCGGGGCCCCGCGACGGCTTCCCCGACCCGGCTCGGCCCCGCCGCCGGCCTCGGGCTGCGCCTCCCGCCCGAGCTCGGACTCGTCTCCACCCGCGCTTCCTCTAACGCGATCCCGGCCAGCGCCCGCCGACTCCGGCGCCCTCGGCCCGCCCCGCGGCCCCTTCCCGCGGGCAGGCAGCCCGGCGGGCGCACTGACGGACGAGGGACAGGCGGCGGGACGGCCGGACGGGCCGCGGCGGACTCACCGCGCGCGGGCTCCGCTCCGGCCAGGGCCGCTCCGTCATGGCGGCGCCTCGGCTTCCGAGCGAGCCGCGCCGCCGCCGCGCGGACTACAACTCCCAGAACCCCGCGCGCCGCGGGCGGCCGCCATTGGCCCGGAGAGGCGCGCAGAGTGGTCCCCGAGCGTCACCCGCCGCGGGACTCCCCGGCGGGGGACGGGGTAGTAACGCGCCGGGCTGCGCGGGCCAATCGGAAGCCGCCCGGAACGGGCTTCTACGCCCCCGCGGTGCCCCAGAGTTACCCAGGACGTATCCGGTCGCCATGGCAACGGGGCACGCCGCGTCTGAGTGAGGTGAGGGCGGGGGCTGGGTAGGAGGATGGGCGGGGCTGCCTGAGCGAGGCGGTTAGGCGCCCTCACTGCGGTGTCCAGGCCGGACGGCGAGCCAGAAATTCCATTTAATCAACGTGGTTTTTTGTTTGTTTGCTTTACTATAGGCGTGTCTCACATTTAGTATGGTAAGATATTTTTAGAAACTATAAGTCTGTTTTAGTAGAATATGTGCCAGTATAGGATTGCCAGATTTCGCAAATAAGTAATATAGGAAGCACAGTTAGCCTCAAATGTCAGATAACAACGAGGTTTTTAGTATTAGGGTTTCACTTTTAGTGTATTTTTTAAAACCTAGAAATATACAGTAGTATACGGAATTTTCAGTGTAGCTATGTCCCACGGTAGGGTTGCCAGGTTTAGTAAATAAAAATGCAGGATGCCCACCTGAATTTAAATTCCAGGTAAACAATAAATACTTTTTTTAGTATAAGTGTGTCCCATATTTATTATATTTTAAAATCTTTTTACTAATACTATATTTAGTACAACTAATTTTTGAATATGTATGTGTCAGAATAGGATTGCCAAATTTAGCAAATAAAAATATAGGACAAGTCCTAGTTAAATTTGAATTTCAGATGAATAATTTTTTATTTTTATTTATTTATTTATTTATTTTAATTTTTTATTTTTATTTAAGGATTTTATTTATTGGACAGAGAGAGACACAGCGAGAGAGGGAACACAAGCAGGGGGAGTGGGAGAGGGAGAAGCAGGCTTCCCGCAGAGCAGAGACCTTGACGCAGGGCTCGATCCCAGGACCCTCATGACCTGAGCGGAAGGCAGATGCTTAACGACTGAGCCACCCAGGCGCCCCAAATAATTTTTTAGTATAAATATGTCCCAATAGTATATTTTGGATATACTAAATACTAATACTAAATACTATGTTAATTACGAACAGTGTTTCTTATTATTATTTGTTCCAATAGTATATTTGGGACATATATATTTTTTTTTAGGATTTTATTTATTGGACAGAGAGAGACACAGTGAGAGAGGGAACACAAGCAGGGGGAGTGGGAGAGGGAGAAGCAGGCTTCCCGCCGAGCAGGGAGCCCGATTATTATAAGAATAATCTATCAGATCTGTCAGCAGGACTGATGTGGCTTTGACCTTGGAGGGCCCACAGTTTATGCCCCAGTAAGCAGGTAAAGCAGATGCTTGCTGGAAGTGTGAGTGCCTTAGAAAAAATAAAACTAGGCATGGAAATACAAAGTCTCAGGAGTGACAAGAGGGGCTACTTAGCTGTGTGGTCAGGGCTGTGCCTCTCTCTCATCTCCTGCTGGACGCTGGTCCCTGGAGTGTTGTATTCAAGCAGGTGCTTGCTGGGTGCAGAAGCCACAGATGGGACAATAAAATCCAAGTGCTGAGGGCTTATTATTCTCCTTCTTGCAAGTTAGACATGAGTGACATGAGTTCCCTGGCTCACTTTCTTGGTAGTTGGAATTGGCTTGAACCTTTGGACTTATTTATGCACTTATAACTCTGCAACGCACCTCAGGAAATTGCCTGTGAGAGAACATTCACTTAGTTTGTTTCTAGACCCAGAGTGAGAGGCATCATCATCATTAGGCAGCTTGAATGCTAGATCCACTGGGAGGCAGTCTGGTACCAGACACAGGTTTCCAAACATTTTTGTAAGCAGCAGAAACTTTTGTCCCAAATGACACTGAGGTACGTCACTAAGTAAGTTAGCTAGAGGCTGTACTGTTGTGATCGCCAGGGGTTGGAAGGAGGAGGAGTGCAGAGTGTGCAGCGATAGGCATGGGGTTTCTTTTTAGGGTAATGAAAATGTTCCGGAATTAGTGGTGATAGTTGCAAAACCCTGGGGATATACTAAAAAGCACTGAACTACACACTTTAAATGGTTGAGTTTTATGCTGTGTGAATTATACACCAATAAAAAATATCATTAAAAACAAGCAGAACTGTTTGGGTTGTAGGAAGATCTGGTGTGGCCATATCACACCCAAAAATCAACTCCAGATGAACCTGGGACTTGAAGCCAAACACAAAATATTAAAACTTTTTGTGGGAAATATTTGAGGGTATTTGAGTTTTGGAAAACATTTGGCATCTTCTAGTTCAGCTGACCATCTGCACACCCCGGGACTTAGCGTCTCCCAACTTAGGGATGCTCAGGCACCACTATCAGAAAAGCCAAACATGCATTGGAGAAGGAGGGGTGTGTTGTGCTCTATTCACATAGTGGGATATTCTACACCAGTGAAAATACGTCGTCTACAATAGAGGCCAGAACACTTTTTCTGCAAAGGGCCAAATAATGAATATTTTTGGTTTTGTTGGCCATATGGTCTCTATCACAGCTACTCAGTTGTGCTGTTGTAGCACAAAAGCAGTCATAAACAATTTTCAGAAAGACAGGGTTGGCTGTGTTCCAGTAAAACTTTTTTTTTCTTTACGTGGGTTTGAGCTCATGACCCTGAGATTGAGAGTTGCATGCTCTACTGACTGAGCCAGCCAGCCAGGCACCCCTCCAATAAAACATTATTTATCAAAGTAGGCGGTATTTTGCCTTCAGGATGTAGTTCGTGGATCCTGAATTACAACATGGATGAGTCTTTGCCTCGTCTAGAACATCCTTCCCCCAGATGGCAGATGGGGCCTCCTCTCTGACATCAGCTCCTCAGAGAGGATTCCCTGACCACCTCAGCTAAAGCAGCCCCAGAGAGCTCTCTCAAGTCCCCTCCGCTTAGTTCTTCCTGGCACCTTTTACTTTTTAGATGATTTTTGTGTTGACTTGTTTTATTGACTTTTCTCTACACAAGCAAGTCTCTTGTGGAGGAGACCAGATCAAGGGCAAGTAAGGGTTGTATGGAGGGCCCAGAATACACGGGGAAACTGAATTCCTGGTGGGTTTTCCAGGTCACTCTCAGCTTTTGCCTTCAGGAGTTGATGGAGAAGGCGGCGTATTAGCTGAGCCACTGAGACTAGAGCACCTTTACATTAACACAGTATGCCGTATTTATCACCTATTTTTTAAAAGATTTTATTTATCTATTTGACAGACAGCAAGAGAGGGAACAAAGCAGGGGGTAGAAGAAGCAGGCTTCCTGCGGAGCAGGGAGCCCTATGTCGGGCTTGATCCCAGGACCCTGGGACCATGACCCGAGCTGAAGGTACCCAGACACCCCTGTCACCTGTTTTATTACTACCCTCTGGCAGAATGGAGAATGTTCTGTAAGTAGACAAGGAGCATTAAGGGCTTTCCTCCATCATGAACACCCAGGAGTGAGCGGCTGTGTTCTGTGCCCCAACCATGGGTCCAGAGAAAGTGCGGACACAAGCCCTGCAGCCCAACTCTCAAAAGGCCCCTCTCGCTCACACCACATAACCAGGTGCCAGAGCATTGCCACTGCCAGTGAAGAATAATCTATCAGATCTGTCAGAGCCCAGGCTGGCCGAGAAACGGAAACATAAAACACAGAAGGAGGGGAGAAAAAAAGAGGGAGACAGAGGAATGAGGACAAAGTTCAGATGCTCCCTGGGTTTCATTCCAGGAGCCAAAAAAAGTATGGGTCTGAGCTTAACTGGCCCATGAAGTGCGCATAGGCTGGAGGGTCCCCCTGGGCATCCTGGTTGGGGACCTCCATAACTCTCAGCAACATTTAAAAGGTTTATAAAATGGGGCACCTGGGTGGCTCGGTCATTAAGCGTCTGCCTTCGGCTCAGGTCGTGATCCCAGGGTCCTGGGATCGAGCCCCACATCGGGCTCCCTGCTCCGCAGGAAGCCTGCTTCTCCCTCTCCCACTCCCCCTGCTTGTGTTCCCTCTCTCCTGCCTCTCTCCCTCTCTGTCAAATAAATAAAATCTTTAAATAAATAAATAAATAAAAGGTTTATTAAAACAGAACTCTCATACAAAGATGGAATGAACACATGGCAAGGATTTATGTACCTGGAGAGTGAGGCTGATTCAAGCATCACAGGTTTTTAATGATCCTGTGGTGCCCCCAGTGCGTAGACCTCGCCACGCGAAGTGCAGACCGAGAAACTTCATCACCCTGGGGGTGTTAGCCATGACCTCCCACCCCTGCACCTGTGCCTCCACGGGGTCCCCTGTTAACGTGGGAGGTGCTTTGGGCTCAGCACTTGGATGTTTCTTGATAGATTGTTACCAGAGCACTGGTTCGAAGTCAGGTTCCACTGCGCGCCGCTCAAAAATCAATACTCCAAGACAAGTGATGCTGGGAAAGGAAAAGTTGCTTTATCCAGAAAGCCAGCAACCTGGGAAGATGGCAAACAGACGTCCCAAAGGCCATCTTCCCTGTCCAGGTGAAGTGGAGAGTTTTAAAGGGTAAGTCATGGGACTGGGGGGTGGGGCACTATGTGCCCGAGAAGCTGGTGCCCATGGGGTTAGTCGGTTCCTTGTTTGGTGACATGATTCTGAACAAACTTGCTGGTTTCAGTGGCAGCTGTTTTTGAATGTGGTTTGGCCTTATCTTCTTGGAAAGTTTGGTCCTTCCCTTCTCGAGACCAATGGTCTACAAATCTCAAGGAAAGTACATTAGTTCTGCTACAGAGCAAGGAACTTAGGTCAGCAAGCGAGAGGTGCATAAGCTTGAAGCAAGTTAACCCTTTAGACCAGGTGGAGTGCCATTACAAGGTGACCATGTCCCAGACTTTGATAAGTAGGGTGACTGCCACCCCGCCCCTGGCCCAGGATGGAGGCTGTCCATGGAATGTGACGGAACTTGGGTGGGTCAGTCCCCGAGCTCTGTCCTGGCTCATGTAAACCCGAGAAGCAGCCTGTGCCCGAGCCCCCACTCCACGCTTCCCTCATCCTCACTCCTTCTCTCCCTGCCCAGGTCAGTTACTTACACAGCCCTGCCAGCCTTGGCAACAAGACCCAGTTCCTGTCCTTCCTTCAGACCCTGGCCAGTGGCCTCATGTGCTCCCGCGGCCCAGCTAGCGGTCCACTTTGGGTGGCCCTGTGTGAACATCTTGGCCCAAGATGAGGATTGTGGGAAGCCCGGCATCTCTCTGGCCAGCTGGGGCTAAGCCAGGCCAGTATCTGTGCTGAGCCCTCTCCATGTCACTCCCAACGAACACTAGAGAAGATGGAAGCCATCCTCTGGGAGACAGAGGGCCAAACACCCACTAACATAGTAGCTCTCCTGAGCGACTTACTCTGGGACCATGAAAGGCTTGCTAGGCCCAGCGAATTGGGACAGGTCGGGGTCAGCCTCATACACCCGCGCCCCCCTCCACCAGGCCCTGGCTGATGTAGGAAAGACGTTAGTGTTCAAAGCTGACAGCCAAGAAAGAATTCTTGAGATGTCTTTGGTGCAAAAAGGTGGTTTTATTAAAGCACGGGGACCGGACCCATGGGCAGAAAGAGCTGTACTGGGGTCGTGAGGAGTGGCTGATTATATACTTTGAAGTTGAAAGGGGGTTAGGGATAGTGTGAGTCTCTAAGGAACTCGGAAGCAAGGTTTCCAGGATCTTGAGGGGGCTAGCTATTGTTGGGAAAGGGTCATTTATTACCGTCTAATAAAACCTGGGTCATGAGACCCTTCAGATGTATATTGGTGGGTCATATGCTTGGGGTATGATTGCCAATGTGTATCTTGTGGGGTAGAGTAAAGGAAGTTTCCAAAGGAATTTTTGTACGTTAAAGTAGACTTATGGGGTCCTGGGTGGGGCGGGGGGTCAGGCTAGGCTTGTCTTTGCCCTTAGCAAAGTATTAACTTCGAGGCAGCTGAGTCCCTAGAGGAATGTCACTCTGCCTGTTTCAAGGACTTGTCAATGGGCTGTAGATAGTAAGGAAATTTAATAATTTTTCTTTTGCCTTTGTTTCCCACATCATTGGCCACCCCCAGTGATTCCTGGACCCTGCAGGGCTTGCTGGAGCTGGTGGCCCGGGGCAGAGCCAGGGCTGGTCTGAGTCAGGCACCACACACCCCACACCATGCTGGACCAGGTGACCCCAGGAGTATCCAGAACCTCACCAGGCTTTCTGGGCCGGGTGGTCTGGGCCAGGTCCAGGGCAGGTCTAGGTCAGGACCCAGACACCCTGATCCTGCACACCTAGGTCAGGGCCCACATCTCCCGGGCCCTGCAGGAATTGCTGGGCTGAGTGGCTGGGGCAGGTCAGGGTCAGGCACCACAGCCCAGTGCATGCTGGCCTCGGTCACCCCCAGATCGTGCAGGACCAGGTGGGCCCAGAGGCTGGGGACTGGTTCAGGTGAGGCCCCATACACTAACACTGTGCCAGCCCTCACCACCTCAGTGTCTTCTGGGACCTGCAGGGCTGGCTGAGCCTGGAAAATGGGGGTAGGTCCAAGTCAGGCCCCACAGCACAGCATACTGGCCCTCTAGCTTCTCCTGGACCCTGCAGGGCTTGCTGGAGCTTATGGACCGAGGTCAGTCTGGGTCAGGCCCCACAAACCCAGCATCATGCCCACCCTGGTCCTCCAACATCTCCTGGAACCTTCAGCACTGGCTGGGTCTGGAGGCTCGGGGCTGGTCTGGGTAAGGACCCAAATGGCCCACACCTGCAGGCCCTAGCCAGCCTGGCGTCTCTTGGAATCTGCGGGGCTTGCAGGGCCTGATGGCCTCAGGGAAGGTCCAGGTCAGGCCCCACGCACCGCACCCTATGCTGGCCCTAGCCATGCCCAAGGTCTCGGGGCCCCTCCCAGATCTTGCAGGGCTTGCCAGGCCTAGTGGTCTGGGGCAGATCCTGTCAGCTGCAATCACTGCGCCTCCTGCTGGCCCTGCAGGGTCCTCCTTCCACAGCTCAGCAGCCAGGCCCCGGTGTCCCTGAATTCTTTGCTCACCCACACCCCATCTGTACCCCGTCCATCTGTTCTTGGAGTGGTCTGGGAGGCCACCATTGGGCACATGTGGCCCTGCAGGAGCCAGGGCCAGTGGGGAACAGCAGGGTGGCGGGCTAGTGGGGTTCTGCTCTGGAAACGGGAGTCTGAGGGGCCGGGAGCACCCCTTCTAGGAAGTGAGTACTGGGGACATGGCCCATGCCCTGGGGTACAGGGATGGAGTGCGGCACTTGGCGCTGTGGCAGGCGACAGAGTCCATTGTGGACGATTTAGGGAAGGGCTGGGAGCAGGCCTCACTCTGCCCAAGGCTGGAAGGCAGGACGGAGACGGGGCTCTTCAGAGAGGACGGGCAAGAGCAGCCGCATGGCTGGGGCAGGGGCAGCGTGGGGGACGCAGGGTCGCAAGCTGGCGGAGGCCGGTCTGAGGACGTCCAGAGCGGTTTGGACTCTACTGGGGGTAATGAGGGGGCTGAGGAAGGGAGTGAACGGCCCCAGCTCCTGGCATCAGCTGCACTATGACTTCTGTGGGTCCTTTCCTCCTTTTTTTAAAAAAAAATTATTTTTAAAGATTTTATTTTTTTGAGAGAGAGAGAATGCGAGCACAAGCAGGGCGAGGGGCAAAGGGAGAGGGAGAAGCAGGCTCCCCGCTGAGCAGGGAGCCCGACGCAGGGCTCATCGATCCCAGGACCCTGGGATCATGACCTGAGCCGAAGGCAGACGCTTAACGACTGAGCCACCCAGGCGCCCCCCTCCCCACGACTCTTGCCCAGAGGTGGGAGGTGGGCTCAGGGAGTCAGACGATCCCTTTGCAAGTCCTGAGTAGACCCACTGGCTGTCCGAGGGGAGGTTGTGGAGGGGGAGGTGAGCACCTACGTTCTTTATGTGGGTGTCTCAGACAGACTGATGCACCACTGCACACAGTGTCACCAGGCCTGCCGCCATCAGACCCACCGGGGGGCTTATTTCATGTGCTGAATCTGTGAGTGCCTCTCCAGTGTGACTTCACTGTAACTAAGGTGTTTTTCTGGTAAAAGGAGCCTTGTCTTCTTGTGCGTGGGAAGGACACTGGGACTGCTTCCCTGGACTGCTTCTGGACACGGACCAGTCACTGACAACACCCTCTGCTGCGGCACGACTTCCAGGATCTAGCCAGATCCCCCGACAGGGAGCCCCCCACTGCTGTTTTGAGTGCAGCCCCTGCCCCGACAGACAGTTTGCAGACCAAAGAGGTGAGGGAGGAATTGCAGAGGCTGAATTCAGAGAGGCCAGCAATGCACCTCCAGCCTCCAGATTCCTGACGTGAAGCCTTGTGTGGAACTGTTGGCCTATAAAGGATGGACAGATGCATGTCTCCTGTGCGTGGTCCATTGAATCCTCACCTAGCAAACACCCAGGTGCCTGGGCCCCAGATGGAGAAACACAGTGTGGCCTGCGCCCCAAAGCCTATGGTACTGCTCTTCATCATTGTCCCTCCCAGCACTGCCATCTGGACTTCAGTCGATGTTGATGGGTTTTGTCTATTTTTTTTTAACTCCTGTAAGTGGAATCGCACAGAATGTTCTTTTTTGTCTCACATTTCCCTACACGTGACATTTGTGTGATTCATCCTGACAGTTGTGTGTGGCTGTGGCTCTCTGGGTCTTGCGCCTGGTAGGATCCCGTGTGCGGACACGTCACGCCTTCTCTTCAGGGGCAATAATGAGCAGTGCTGCTGTGAATGTCGCTGTCCTTGTCCCCTGGGGACAAGCAAGTGCATTTCTGTCAGGCGTGGCATCGTCAGAACTTAAATGTTCTTACAAAAAAAGAAAAGAAAAGAAATGTAAGGGGATGAATGTGTTAATTAACTCGACAGGAGGAACCCTTTCACAATGTACAGGTGTATCAAATCATCACGATGTACACTTCAAATATCTTACAATTTTATTTGTCAATTATACTTCAGTAAAGCTAAAAGAAAGAAGAATAAGTGAATGAATCAATAAATGGAATACGTGGAATGCTCCCTCCGTGTAGCTGGCTTCTCTTTGGCCTTGCTGGCCAGGGGTTTGCCTGATGCCTTTGATGAGACCAAGTTCCTCACCGTCAGCATGCTGCTTTTCTGCAGCATCTGGAAGGCCTTCTTGCCCCTGTACCACAGCACCCGGGGAAGGCCACTGTGGCTGTGGAGATCTTCTCCATCCTGGCCCCAACTGCAGGGCTGCCGGATGGCATCTTCACTCCCAAGTGCTGCATCATCCTGCTGAAACCTGAGCAGAATGTTCTAGCCTGGTTAAGGCATGGATGCTGGGCTCACTGGGAAAGGCACGGTGAGGAACCCCGGAGCAAGCATCTCCCAGGTCCAGGCCACAGAGCCTCATGAGCCTCACGAGTCAGTCCTCACTGAAGACGCTGATGCCACAGGATTTGGACTCATTGTTTTTCTGTGGCTGGAAAGAAAAATAATCGAGAGATGGAGTACATAGAGCAGAATATTAATGACTGTTAGATCAAGATGATGGGCATATGGATGGTCATTGACTATTCTCTTTGTAGGCATTGTTGAAGATCCTCACAAATAAAAGGGTTTAGGGGGCACCTGGCTGACTCAGTTGGAAGAGCATGAGACTCTTGATCTCAGGGACATGAGTCACACCCCATGTTGTGTGTAGAGATTACTTAAAGAAATAAACTTAATAAATAACCCCCCAAAAATAAAAATAAAAAAGTTTGGAAAAGGCCCGTGATGCAATAACAACAACAACAACAATATTAACGATAACAAGTGTTGGTGAGGAAGTTGAAGCCCTCGTCCACTGTTGGTGGGAATGTAAAATGGAAAACAGTTTGGCAGTTCTCCAGAAGATTAAAAATAGAATGATATGACCTGGTAATTCCACTCTTAGATAGATACACAAGGACAATGAAAATGTATGTCCATGCAAAAACTTGTGCACAAACGTTAAGAACAGCCAAAAAGTGGAAACAACTCAAATGTCCTTCAGCTGATGAGTGGACAGAATATGTCATATCCATAATGGAATGTGATTTTGCAATACAGAAATAAGCTACTGGAACTACAACATGGATGAACCTTGAAATACTATGCTGAGTGCACGAAGCCTGTTACAAAAGACCATATATTGTATGCCTTCATTTATAAGCAATGTCCCAAATAGGCAAGTGCATAGAGACAGTCAGTTAGTGGTTGCCTAGGGTGGGGAAGGATGCATTGGTAGGTGAAGGCTAAGAAGTGCAGGGCTTTTTGGGGGGAAGAAATATTCTAACATTGATTTTCGTGTTGGTTGCACAAATATGTGAATATGCTAAAAACCACTGAATTCTACACTGTAAAGGGGCGAATTTCATGGTATGTGAATGATACTTTGATAAAACTGTTAGCAAAAAAAAAAGGGAATCAATATGTTACAAAGCATAGCCCTTTGTTATATCCTCCTTTAAAAAACTTTATTTTTTATTTATTTTTAAAGATTTTATTTATTCATTCATGAGAGAGGCAGAGAGAGAGAGAGAGAGAAAGGCAGAGGGAGAAGCAGGCTCCCAAGGAGCAGGGAGCCCGATGTGGGACTCGATCCCAGGACCCAGGGATCATGACCTGAGCCGAAGGCAGACGCTTAACCATCTGAGCCACCCAGGCGCCCTATTTTTGTTTTTTAAAAAGATTTATTTATTGGGGCACCTGGGTGGCTCAGCCAGCTAAGCATTTGCCTTCAGCTCAGGTTATGATCTCAGGGTTCTTGGATCGAGCCTCACATCCAGCTTCCTGCGAGCCTTTCTCCCTCTCCTCCCCACTCATGCTCTCTGTCTCTCTGTCTCAAACAAATTTTTAAAGATTTTATTTATTTATCTGAGAGAGAGTGAGAGAGTGTGAGCGGGGGTAGGGGCAGAGGGAGAGGGAAAGAGAGAAACTCAAGCAGACTCCCCGCTGAGCCTTTAGCTCCAGTCAGACTCCCATCTCCGACCTGAGCCAAAATCAAGAGTCGGTGGCTTAACCGACTGAGCCACTCAGGCGTCCCTCAAACTACTTAAAACCGTGGATAGAATTTTAAGTTGTAATACTGAATATTCAACAGTGCAAAAGTTATTTTTTCTAAAATTTCGATCATGGAATTTTAGTTATGTTAGAAAATGGTCCTTATCTTTACATTACATACTGTAGTTAAAATAGGACACCAAAACACTGTTTGGGATTTGCTTTCAAATGACACAAAATGCCACAGTGGCTGGGGAGTGGGCTGGGGACTAGCCCTGGGTTTGGGGTGCCTGCGTGGTGCAGTTGGCTAAGGGTGGCACTCGTGGTTTCAGCTCAGATCCTGATCTCAGGGTTTGGGGATAGGCCCCCCATTTGGGCTCCCGCTCTGTGCAGAGTTGCTTGGGAGTCTCTCTCTCCCTCTCCATTTGCCCTTCCCCTCGTTCGCTCTTTCTCTCTCTAAAATAAATAAGTCTTAAAAAAAAAAAAAAAAGAGGTTTTGAAAATTCCTGAAAGAACAGCCACGAAGAGCACAGAGAACATGGATGGGTGAATCCGCCCCGTGCAGAAAACGGCCGTGACGTGAAAAGTGCGTGGACAGCACCTCCCACAGGATGGGCCAGGGCTCAGACGGGCGCGGGGGAAGTGCCCCCCAGCCTCGCACCTGCCGGCCCGGGGCCCGAGCGCAGGCCTGGCCGCAAGAAGAGGCGAGCCAGGGCCCTGTCTGCTCCTCCCTTTCCAAACCTGGGCTTCGCTCTAGAAGTCTCACAATTCCAGTTGTCCGGACGGGAAAGTTTCTCCACATTTTAGTCCTCCAGACGGAGAACAAAACCACCCCCCGGATTTTCTCATTTTCCGTTATTGTCAAGGAAACATAAACGTGGCGAAAATCTCGGTTATGACAACATCGTGATTTAGCCGGGACCAAACATTCCATTTTAGGGAAGACGTATCTGATGATTTATGAGGGATGCCTGCCTTCATTCCCCACCCGATGAACAGAAGCGACGGGGCACGGACATAACATTTGAATACGTGTCTTTGTCTTACATAAAAAGGACATCAAGACACTTATTTTTACTTCGTCCCCAGGACGGTAGGTGTATCTGCGAAGACAGCGTCTTTGACAGCGGGAGGGGAGGGCGGGCGGCCCCCAGACACTCCCAACCCCGCGCTGCCAGAGAGCCTTGTGGGAACTGTAGTCCGAGCCTCAGCGCAGGACCGAGCCGGGATGTGCTGCAGTGGACTGCAACTCCCAGAAGGCCACGCTCCTGGGTGACACCTACTCTCTGGCACCGCCCACTATGTGCCTTCCTCGGGAGGACCCGCCCCGCGGAACTTCTGGGAAATGTACTACGAGGCCATAGGTGTCTACGCCCGCCACCTGGTGGACAAAGCTAGTGTAACTGTAATTCCCTATAACTTTTAGAATACTTCTCAGGCTTCTTGGACTCTCCGGAGCCGCCGATTGCGCGCTTCTGGAGTTCGGGAACCTGACCAACGGTAACTCCGGGGAATTACAGTGAGAGAAATCTGTCTCACTGCCGCCTAGGCCCGGCAGGGGAGCCTAGGCTACCAGGCACGGAAGGCCCTTTCACCCGCCCGGGCCCGGTCGTGCATGCCCATTGGGCGGGCACCCCCACCTCCGCGCCTTCTGGGAAACGTAGTCTGACTCTCCGGGCGCTCCGCGGTGCCGACTGCGGGACTAGGGCCAGGGCTCCGGCCGCAGGACTACAACTCCCGGAATGCCCACGCGGCGGGGCCCGTCACCCCGGAGTCCCCGGCCGCGCTCTCCCATTGGTCAGGGGCTGCAGCGCGGGCTTTTCGGGTCGTGGTAGTTCCGCTTCGTTCTCGGAGCCGCCGTCGCCCCGAGAGGCTGCGCCGGCCGCGCGGCTCCGGTTGTCTCCGTGGTGTGGGGCCGCCCCGGGCGGTCTATCCGGGGCCCCGAGCCGGTGGGCGCTGGAGGGAGCGGGTGGGGCTGCAGGTGGCTCCTCGAGGATCTCGGAGTCGGAAGAGGCGGTGGCCGCGGGGCCCCTGGCAGCCCGCGCCTCGGTGAGTGGCCGCGCGCCCTCCGGTCCCGGGCTGGGTCTGGACCCTGCTCCCGAGGCGCGGGTGGGAGTCGGGGCCGCAGCCGGTCGTTCTGGCCCAGCGCGGCGGAGAACCTCAGTAGTCCCGCAGTCCTCACATACGTCTGCGAAGTCCCGTGACCGGCAGAGATCGGACGAAACCTCCCAGCAAGGAGGTTACACACCCAGATTCCAGATGGCTTCAGCTACCCCGGTTCCTGTCCTCCCATCCTCTGGAATGATTGTCTAAAAAAGGGAACATCTCTCCGTTTTTATGAAGCCACCATAACCATGATTCCAAGATGTGCAAACTCTGAGCTCAGGCTCCTCTTTTGAAAAAACGAAAACCACCCCAGGAAGTGGGAACTGCTTCCAAGACTGTTCTGAGGATTAAGAAAATTTCCATTAGGTAAAGTGCTTACTTAAGTGCAGCGCCCAGCGTGGAAAGAGAACCCTTGGCAAATGTTAACATTATTACCAGCAAATATTAACGTTATCATTTTTATGTACCTGGTGGTATAAAAAAGGAAGGGGAATCCTAAAGGGAACTGTTCATTTGGTCTTGAAGATAACAAGTTGATCAAGTGGGTGTAAACGTTTGAGTGTGATGGCGGCTCACCTCTGAAATGGCTGATGCACACCCCTGATTCCCCCCAGAGAGGCCCAGGTGTATCCCGCAGAAGCCAGAACACTCTCAGGACATCTCCCCGTACACGTGGGTGCAATGTTCACATTCCCACAGAGCCCTCCCTGCTCTTCTGGGAACTTTGCAGGGGAAAGGGTCGTGGCTCAGCAGGCGTGTGGGGGACGTTTCAGGGGCAGGTAACCTTCGATGATGTAGCCGTGGACTTCACCCAGGAGGAGTGGGGCCTTCTGGGCCCTGCCCAGCGGACCCTGTACCATGCCGTGATGCTGGAGACCTTGAGACACCTGGTCAGTGTGGGTGAGGCTGTTCCCCGTGTCAACTTCGATTTGCCTGGGGTCTTGGCAGAGTGGCTTCGATTTAGCTGGGAGTGTGGAGGCACTGGGGGATTTCTCCTCAAACCTCACAGCCTGAGATGACTGCCTGGTTCATTTTGTAGAGCATGTGACTCTTGATCTTGGGGTTGTGAGTTCAAGCCCCATGTTGGACATAGAGCTTACTTAAAAATAAATTTTAAAAAATGTTGTCGCAAAATGTATATGAAAAAAACCAAAACCTCACAGCTTGATCATTCATTTGCACAGGCCCTTGGAACCTCAAGCCAGGTATTGTTGCCCACGTAGAACTCGGAGTAGAGCAGCGGATGATGGACAGAGGGCTCTCCCAAGATTCCTGCGTCGGTGAGATGGGGAAAGGATATGTTCCTTCATATCTTCCTTTTCTAGTGCTTTTCATTACCTTTGGCATTTCCATAACTATGTCTGGGATCATTTTCCTTTTGCTTAGGGTTCTTTTAGAGTGACAAAATGCCCTCATTTTGTGTTTGCCTGAAAATGCCTTTATTTCATCTTCATTTTGGAAAGATACCATAAACAGAGAATTTTAGGTTGTCAGGTTTTTTGTTGTTGTTGTTGATGTTTTTTCTTTTTCTCAGCACTTTAAAGACACCATGCCGTTGTCTTCTGGACTCCATGGTTTCTGTTGAGAAGTCAACCTCCATCTTACTATTGTTACTTTGAAGACAATGGGTATTTTTTATTTTTTTGCCAACAATACTTTTAAAGTGCACAAAATTTAAATGTACAATTGAAAAATTTTGATAAATGTATGCACATATGTAACCCAAATAAAGTTGACATTTTCATTATTTCACAAAGTTCCTTTGTTACCTCTTTCCATTTAAGAAAGGCAACCACTGTTGAGTTTTTTTTTCCACCATAGGTTATTTTTGCCTTTTCTAGAACTTCATCTAAAGAGAATCATACATTCTTTCTTTCTTTCTTTTTTTTTTTAAAGATTTTATTTATTTATTTGACAGAGAGACAGAGATCTCAAGTAGGCAGACAGGCAGGCAGAGGGAGAGGGAGAAGCAGGCTCCCTGCTGAGCACAGAGCCAGACATGGGGCTGGATCCCAGGACCCTAGGATCATGAGCCGAAGGCAGCCGCTCAACCGACTGAGCCACCAGGTGCCCCCATATATTATTTCTTTTGTGTAAGGTTTACCCATCCATGATATTATATGCATTATTATTTCATTCCTTTCTACTCTTTACTATTTAGGGACATTTTACTTTTTGATGATTTACAATTTATCCATTCTCTTGATAATGAACATTTGGATTGTTTCTAGTTTGGGGCTATTATGAATAATGCTGCTATGGACATTCTGGTGCAATGTTTTTAGTGGACTTGTGTTTTTATTTCTCTTGAGTAAATATCTAGGAGGGGACTTGTTGAGTGATAGATTAAGTTTTGATTGGTAGTGCCTTCGATCAGTTGGGGAAGACTTTATATCTTAACATGTTGAGTCTTCTAATTTTGGGATCATGGTATATTTATTTAGGTAATTCAGCAGTATTTTGCAGTTTTTAAGCATACGGGTCATGCACATCTTTTACTAATTTTATTCCTAGAAATTTTTGATGCTATTGTAAATCTTATTTTTAATTTCATTTTCTGATTGTTTGTTGCTAGTGTATATAATTTTTTCTTTGACATTCTATCCTGTATGAGCTTGCTAAAATCACTTAGTTGTTTTAGTAATTAAGTTTCAATGTCTTTAGATATTTTACACAATCATGTCATCTTCAAATAAAGATTGCTTTATTTCTTCCTTTTCAGACTTTATGCTTTTTCGTTTTTTATATTATTATACCAGCTAGGACCTCTAGTACTTTTTTAAAAAATTGATGTGAAATTAACATACAGTGAGACGTGCTGCTTCTAAGAGTACAGCCCAAAAAAGTTTTGCAAATGTATATTTGTGTGACCCATACTCCAATCCACACATAGAATATTTCCATCCCCATACATTCATTTCCTTATGTCTTTTTGCACTTAGGACTCCCCCAGTGTGGTAACCATTCTTCTGATATCTGTCACCATAGATATCCAGTACAGTATTAAATAAAAGTGATAAGAATGAACATCCTTGCCTTGCTCCTGATATTAGGGGATAGAATTCAATATTTCACCATTAAATATGATCTGTTGCCCTTTATCAAATTGAGAAAGTTCTATTCCTGGATTGCTGAGGTTTTTTTTGTTTTGTTTTGTTTTGTTTTATTATGAATGGGTGTTGTCAAATGCTCTATATGCATCTGTTGACATGATTGAGTTTTTTTTCTCCGTTCCATTGATTTCTGCTTTCTGTTATTTCCTTCCATTGCTTTGGCTTAATTTGCTTTCCTTTTCTCTGGCTTTTTGAGGTAGAAGCTTAGTATTTTAACTTTAATGCTTTCTTCCTTTCTAATGTTTGTGTTTATAGCTATGCATTTTCCTTTGAGTCTTATTTCAACTGCATCCTGCACATTTTCACATGTTGTATTTTCATTATTGTTTAGTTCATTATTGTTTTTGTTTTCCAAATGCCTTGAATGGAATCGTAATGAAAATACAACATATGAAAGTGATTTCTTCTTTGATTTGTGAAGGACATTGTTAATTTCCAAATATGAGAGGATTTCTGTTATTGATGTCTAGATTATTTCCATTGTGATTGAAGAACATACTCTGCATGAATTCAGCCCTTTTAAATTTATTTATTTATTTAAAGATTTTATTTATTTATTTGACAGGGTGATAGCATAAGTAGGCAGAGAGGCAGGCAGAGGGAGAGGGAGAAGCAGGCTCCCCGCCGAGCAGGGAGCCCAATGCGGACCTCGATCCCAGGACCCTGGGATCATGACCTGAGCCAAAGGCAGCTGCTTAACCGACTGAGCCACCCAGGTGCCCTCCTCTTAAATTTATTGAGGAATGTTTTTATGACACAGCATATGGTCTATTTTGATGAATGTATATTCTGCTACTGTTGGGTGCAGTGTTTGATAAAGACCTGTCATCACTTTAAAGTCTTGGCTTCTTTTTACCTCTTTCTGTCATTCTGGCCTGGATGAAGCTCCCACTTGTGTTTCAGTTCTCTCTGAAAGGCAGGCGCAGTTTATCAACTGTTCTTTCTTTCTTTATTTATTTTTTAAATATTTTATTTATTTTTCAGTGAGAGAGCAAGAGAGAGTGAGCGAGCACAAGCAGGGGAGCAGCAGGCAGAAGGAGAAGCAGGCTCCCTGCTGAGCAGGGAGCCTGATGTGGGACTCGATCCCAGGACCCTGGGATCATGACTTGAGCCGAAGGCAGACACTTAACTGACTGAGCCACCCAGGCGTCCCTATCAACTGTTTTTTTTTTTATTTTATTTATTTATTTATTTGACACAGAGAGAGACATAGTGAGAGAGAGAGCATGAGCAGGGGGAGAAGCAGAGGGAGAGGGAGAAGCAGGCTCCCTGCAGAGCAAGGATCCCAATGTGGGGCTCGATCTCAGGACCCTGGGGATCATGACCCGAGCTGAAGGCAGCCGCCCAACTGACTGAGCCACCCAGGTGCCCCTCAGCTGTTTTTTAGAGAGCAGAGAGGGTTTACAGGGAACAAATGAATGAAATCAGAGAGAACTGATGGTTTAGTTCCTAAATCTCTGGGTATGGTGCTTTAAACCCACACTGCCTGTGAACTTTCACCTTTTTTGGGGTGTCTTTAATATGTACCCAGTAAAGGGGCGCCTGGGTGGCTCAGGCGTTGAGCGTCTGCCTTCGGCTCAGGTCATGATCCCGGGGTCCTGGGATCGAGCCCCGCGTCGGGCTCCCTGCTCAGCAGGGAACCTGCTTCTCCTCCTCCCACTCCCCCTGCTTGTGTTCCTACTCTCGCTATCTCTGCCTCTGTCAAATAAATAAATAAAAAATCTTAAAAAAAAAAAAAAATGTACCCAGTAAAAAGTTATATTTTAAAAGTGGGAATTTAGTCTCATGTGTATCTTTCCCCTATAGACTGTCATTTAGAATGGTTTTACTAGCTTTATTTATAACATTGAAGTATGTAATGAAGTGCTAAAAAGTTTGATATCAGATATCAAAATCACAAGATTTTCTCTACAGATTGTTGCCCTTGAACACTGAATACCTAGAATGGTACCTTTGATCAGTCTGGAAAAAAATCTCTGCTCTTATCTTTTCAAATGTTTCCTCTGCTGCTTCTATCCCTCTTGCAACTCCAGCTACACATTAGTCCTTTTGTCAGGTGTTCTGTTTTTAAATTCTTTTCTCTCCCTTTGTATCATCATAAAATTTCCACTTACTTGCCTTTGAATTCACAGATTCTTTCTTCTTCTGTGTCCAGTCTGCTGTTAAGTCTATTCATGGTTTGCTTCAGATACTGTATTTTTATTTAATTCCAGAATGGAATTTTCAGTTGGTTCTTTTTTCAAATTTTCCATGAAATTCTGTGTTATGTTTATAACAGGTTGGGCTTTTTCCCCCAGTCAGTGTAAGTGAAACTTTATTGAGGCCCCAGGGCCATGGGGCTCTGGCAGGAGGCCACCCTGTGGGGAAAGGAAGAACTGATGGAGGGGCTTTATTGACCTTCATCTGAGGGTGCAGATGGTTGGTATGGCCTTACGTCTGGCGGGAGCACAACGTTGTATTTCTGGGCAAGCTGGCAGAGGGAGGGCTGGGTGATGCCACCTCCAGGCCAAGTGCCAAGTGCAGGGTGCTCTTCCTGGATATTATAGTCTGAGAGAGTGCAGCCATCCTCCAGCTGTTTGCCCCTCAAAACAGACACTGCTGGTCAAGTGGGATGCCCTCATTGTCTTGGCTTTGACATTCTCAATGGTGTCACTGGGCTTGACCTTGAGGGTAATATTCTTGCTTGTTAGGGTCTCCGTGAAGATCAGCTTCTCTGTGTTTGCCGCTTGGCCACCAAGTTGAAGAGAAAGAGCTATAATTGTTATTTTTAAATCTTTTCCTTCTAAT